GCTTTCCTTCGGATCTGCTCTGATTAGCTCTGACCTGGGCGAACCTCGCACCCCTGCACGTGCTTCCCACCCACGAAACGCAGCCTCTGCCTACAAGGCCGCGGTTTCCACGCAGAACTGATCTCCGATGGGACTGGTCCGCCGCCGTCTTCCCTGAGGCTTCTGCGTAGCTCATAGTATTCCAGCCGGGTGAGATGGCTTTTGACATAGCAGCCTAAGGAACCCTCCTCTTCGTCCTGTCGGGGTGCAGCTCCGGCCCAGCCTTCTTAATCCCATGAACTGACTCGCCCCGGCCTTTGGTGGACAACCTTGATGTCCCCTGAAGTCTAAGATGGCATCTATTTTTATCCTCCTAAGATTGATTCTGGTGTATTTGCAAGTTTGATCTTTACTGATTTCATCAGATTTCGATATCTTGGCCTGAGGTCCTTCCGTTTTTTGTGGGGTTTTTAAAAAATGTTTTTATTGATTTCTGAGAGAGAAAGGGAGAGAGAAACATGGATAGGCTGCCTCCTGCATGCCCCCTACTGGGAATCCAGCTTGCAACCTGGGCATGTGCCTTGACCAGAAATGGAACCAGGAGACCTCCTGGTGCGTGGGACGAAGTGAGCCACCCCAGCCCGGCAGTCCTTGCGTGGTTCTTTTAAAATTAAACATTTTATTTTATTTCTTTGTTAATCCTCACCTGAGCATATTTTTCTATTGTGTTTTTTTTTTTTTTAGAGAGAGAGAGAGTGGATAGGAGGGGGATAGACAGAGAAAGAAAAACATCCTTGTGAGAGAGATGCATGTACCCCACCCAACCAGGGCCAGGGATCGAGCCTGCAACTGGAGGTACCTGCCCTTGACTGGAATTGAACCCAGGACCCTTCAGTCCGTGGGCTGACACTCTATCCACTGAGCAACACTGGCCGGGCTGTCCTTGGGCAGCTTTGATGCTCTTAGAATTGCCCCACTTTGTCTGGGAGTCATCACAGTGGAGCAGGCTCTCCCCAGTGTTTACTACTCTCGGCCCCGGAGTCTCCGGAAGACTCAAGGCATTCCCCAGCCGGCTTTCTTCCCTGACCAGTATGCGGGTGTCCCCGGCCGTCAGAACTCTTGCTCAATGACCAAAACTCAGGAACGAAAGATAACATGGTGATTGTCACCATCTTCACTCCCAACTAGTTACCTGACTCCCAGACTGGGTAGACCAGGATAGGGAGGCATTCTGGGGCGATGCTAATCACCTCCATTAGCAGGGAACCTGACAGGCTACACATTCCTGTAAGTACCATCCTTTCATTACATTGCAGCAGGTCCCTACTCCGCATGGTTGAGCCACCAATCACTAGAGGAGAGAAGACTGGATAAACAGCCGAGAACCCCGCCCTCTCTCACCTGTCATAGGGCACCGCCTCCCCTGGGCGGGGTTACTATACATCCTGCCAGTGGGGCCCGGCCAGGACATTCCATTCCTCACAATCCCCACAGGGAGCCTTCATCTCCCTAAGGCAGCTTGGGAGACAGGCCCGTAGAGGTCACAGGTTAGAGCCCTTAGGAGTTAGGGTCCGTGAGCTTCCTGGCTACCAGCCTTGGAGCCGAGAGACCTCAAAGGTGAGGCGGGTGCCCCAGGCACCTGGAGGCCCCCTCGTGAGGATGGGAACTCACTGAGTGGAGGCTTTGACCCAGACCCCACTGCCCCTGCCCCACCCCCTTCTCGGGCCTCACTGTGTCCGTTCCTCAGAGAACCTTGAAAATGGGTCAGGCTCCCTGCGGGCCTCGCTGTGGTCTGTGGTTCAGAGGTCGATCCACCTTTAACAACTTCGTTTTTTAAACTGGCGCCTCCCTTCCTTACATAATCTCAAGAATTAGAATTACGAAGGCAGTCTTTTAAGCAAAACCTATTTTTTTTCTGCGCTTCATTTGCGGCAGAGTTTCACACTTCCTCAGGCCCCCGCTCAGGCCTCAGCAGGGGGCAGGTCGCTGTTCCACTTTCCTACAAGGGAGTACGCCCGGCCCGTGTGGCTCAGGGGTTGAGCGTGGACCTATGAACCAGGAGGTCACGGTTAGAGATTCCTGGTCAGGGCACAAGCCCGGGTTGTAGGCTCGATCCCAGGTCGGGGGCATGCAAGAGGCAGACAATCAATGATTCTCTCTCATCATTGATGTTTCTCTCTCTCCCTTCCCCTCTGAAATCAATAAAAGCAGGTTTTAAATCAGCGGTTCTCAACCTGTGGGTCGCAACCCCCTTGGGGGTCAAACGACCCTTTCACAGGGGTCGCCTAAATACATCCTGCATATCAGATATTTACATTATGATTCATAACAGTAGCAAAATTAGTTATGAAGTAGCAACGAAAATAATTTTATGGTTGGGGTCACCACTACATGAGGAACTGTATTAAAGGGTCGCGGCATAAGGAAGGTTGAGAACCACTGTTTTAAATAGATGATGCATCTACAAAGTGAGAAGGTTCCCAGTGAGAAGGGCAAGGACAGAGCAGTGTGTAGAGTATTTCCACTTGTAATAGAAACCCTGTGTGTGGTGTACATAGGGGGGTGAAAGAGGGGGTGCGATGGGAAATAACTTCGCAGGGTGAGCTGGTCATCAGTTCCCAACTGGGCAGGTCATGGTGGACAGTCACGCCCAGGCCTATAGCTCCTTTAGTGAAAGGTTTTAACAAAGCCTGGCCTGCTCTGGCCAGTGGCCCAGAGGTTAGAGCATTGGCCCACGCACCAAAGGGTCATGGGTTCGATCCCCGGTCAAGGGCACACGCCCAGGTTGCCAGTTCGATCCCTGGTCCAGGTGCATTTGTGAGGGAACCAATCGCTGTTTCTCACATTGATGTTTCTCTCCCTCTCCCTTCCTCTCTCTGGAATCAATGAAAAAAATGAGAATTAAAACATAATAATAATAAAACAAAGGATTTGTTTTGTTGCCTTTCTCCTCTCCCATCAGGGCGAGGCAGGAGGTCAGATGAAGGGTCTGGTGAGAAAGGAAGGCACCCTCTCCCCACCCCCTCCCGCTCCCGCCGTGAGCCCTGTGTGCCCAGGGACAGGTGAGGGAGAGACGGGCTGAGGGTCCATGTGCCGCTGAGGCCACCAGAGCCTCAGGAAGCCCGATGTCCTCCAAGCCTCTTCCTCGGGGGCCGCCGCTCCGCCAAGGCCGTGGTGGGGAAGAGGGGGCAGCGAGGGCTGCTGGACGCCCCAGGATGCCTCCCGCTGCCCAGAGGAACGCCCAAGCCCACCTTCCCCACCTCCTGCAACCTGAGGCCAAGGGGCGAGGTGACTGTGACAGGGCAGGGCGGTGACCCTTCCGGAAGCCAGCCTCCGACCCTCCCAGCCCAGGGGCAGTGGGCCAGCCCGTGTTCAGACTGACGGACACTCATGCAGGCGGCCTCAATAAACCCAAGGCAGGGACCTCTGCCTGACCCTGTCTGCAGGCTACGCCTGGGGCGGTGGCACAGGGGAAGGGCAAGGGAGGGCGCTTCCGTGAGCCAGAGACCACAAGGGCACGCTCACGCGGCCGGGGCGTCATCGCCTTGCTTTGCAAGCCCCCAGGTTTGATTTTGTGAGAGCTGCAATTTCCTCCCCGCGCGGGGCACTGGGAATGTGTGTGTAATGGAACTTGATTGTAGTCAGCTGTCTCCCAAGTTCCCCACTGCCCCGGAGACAGCTGGCCACGCGCCCCGTGGCGACAGAGGAGTGGGGGGAGGGGGAGGGGAGGGGCGGGGCAGCAGAATTTCCAAGGCGGTGACACTGATGGGGTTGGGGGGCATCTTCTGAGCAGAGTCCATGTTCCTTAAGCAGCTTTCCCTGGTCACAGACCCCTGGTCCCTGGGAGTGCTGGCCCTGCTGGGGACCTTGGCCGCTGGCCGCCAATGGGAGGCGTCTCAACTGTGGCCAGAAAACAGCAGAGAAAGACCTGCTTTCCCTTTCCCACCAGAGCTAGAGGTGCCCGCCCCGCACCAACTGCTCACCTGGACATAGAGGATCGTGGGCTCGGTCCCCAGTAGGGGGCTTGTAGGAGGTGCTTCTCCCCCCCCTTGTCTTCCTCTAAAAATCAATGATTAAAAATATTTTTAAAATGTTTTTTATTGATTTCAGAGAAAGGAGAGATAGAAACATCGATAAGAGCCAACCATTGATCGGCTGCCTCCTGCAAGCCCCTCTGGGGATTGAGCTTACAACCCGGGCGTGTGCCCTGACCAGGAACCGAACCATGACCTCCTGGTTCATGGGTTGCTGCTCAACCACTAAAACACACCGGCTGGGCTAAAAAATATATATTTTTTAAATGATCATCTCTTAATTTATTTTTATTGATTTCAGAGAGGAAGGGAGGAGAGATAGAAACACCAATGATGAGAGAGAATCATTGATTGGCTGCTTCCTGCATGCCCCACACTGGGCATGTGCTCTTGACCAGAATCAAACCCGGGACCTTTCAGTCCGCAGGCCAATGCTCTATCCATCGAGCCAAGCCAGCTAGGGCTAAAAATTATTTTTTTAAAAATCAAAGGAAAAGAAACAAGACATAGGCAAGACTCACAAAACCTCGTTACTTTATTGCACCAAGATCTTGGCAACATCGGGGTCCACAGCCCCTGGAGGGAAGTGCAGAGAACGGGCGCAGACCTCCATACAGAGGCAGCAATGGCGGAGATGGGGGACGGAGAGGTGGCCCCTCCCACGGACCCCAGGCCCCCACACCTCCACTCTAAACACAAAATTAAATTAAACCCCGATTCTAAGTGAGCGGAGGCCGCTGTGATAAAAGCTTGTTATTTATATACATTTATATACGCACACGTCATCTAGAACCGGACTCACTTCCTGGGCCCGCCGGCCCTGGCCCAGTTTGGTGCATGATGCTGGGATGTTGTGGGAGGGAGGCCTCGCCCCTGACAGAGATGAATGCTCAGCACTGCCCACAGTGACAGGTGACGACGGGTGATGGGTGACAGATAGCTCCTCAGGAGGTTCTACAATGACCCCATGGAGGAGGGTGGGTGGAGGGCGGGAAAGAAAGGGGATTGAGTCTGTCAGACAACAGCACCCTCTACTCCTGCCAGGGCTGCAGGAAACGGGGAAGCAGCTCCCACGGCCACGCACTGCACGAAGGAGAAGGCCCTGCCCAGAGGCGACAAGGGACAAAGTGCGGGTCTCTGAACAGTGAGGCTGACAGGCCGAGGCCAGGCCCCTGAGAAAAGGCAGCCCAGCCGCTGGCTTTCTTGGGACCAGACGGCCCCCGTGCGGCCGCTGACATCTCCTCCCAGCTTTTCAGAGAAAATGAACACAGGAAGGAACAGCCAGACGACCCCCATGAAACAGTGCACACACCTCCCCACAGCCCCCAGGGCCAGGGCAAGGCTGTCGGGAGGGGCGGGGTGAGCGCCGCCGTCGGTCCGGCTCCCCGTGCAGCATCTCCCGGAGAAAGGAGCCGTGATTGTCAGATTCACTTGTACCTTCGACCCCTGGGTCACTGTGATTGTTCAGGAAAACGTCACCCCGACAGAGGCTTGCCCATGATTGCTACTTCCCACGTGCACAGGCGCGGCTTGAGCGAGGTAAAGTGATCGGCAGTTACAATCGGCTAAACTGAAAAGCACTCGCCCGCGGAGCAAGGAAGCCAGGTCTGCAGGAGGGAGGACACTGCCGCTGGCGCCCAGGCCTGGGCAGAGGCCGGAGGTTAAGCAGTGACAGGAAGAGGCCCTCCCCCACGACCCCACCTGGACAGAGGCTGCGGCCTGCGGCTGATGGGGGTCGGGAAGGCGCTCAGAGCGAGCAGCAGCCGAGGGGCAGGGGCCAGCTCCGCAGTTCAAGCCCCAAACAGCCGCCTGCTCCCGAGAGCGTCCAGTTCCCTGTGAGGACGGAGGCCGGGGGCCGCCTCGGCTCCGCTTTCTGAGGTGCCGGTAAGGCAGACAGCCCTGTAGGGACGGGG